ACTGGATAACTATGGTGGTCCATGGAGAATTGTCCAGTCACGTAGCTTTGGTTCCTCTTTCCTATATCCTGCTTCTACAATGCACTAGAAGGCCAATAGGGCACACTGAATGTTCTCCTAATGCCATTTTCCATGTAATTGCTGTAGAGGTCCCAAAAAGATTATGGAATTGTGAACAAGATGAGAGATGGTTCTTACAATTGCAAATTGGAGGGGAAGAGGTCCATTATAGCAGTATACACAGGAGGCTCTGGATACCGATCCCAGTCATGTGACATAAACCTTTTGTAACCCTGACCCACATCACGGGACTGTGGCCAAGATATAAAGTGCATTCTCTGACCGGCACTATTGCACCCCACAACTTGATTATAGTGCACAAGATCATCTCTGTGTTAAAGTGTGGTCCATATCATAAGTTTTTGAAAGCCCCAGGTTAGTAGTGGCAATTCATCTGTTATGGGGATATAGATAATCCTTGTCAATGACTTCCCAACTCAGAGTTACTTGTTATCAATAAGACTGCAGCTGATATAACAGCACCTCCCACGTTAGGGAGGGGAAAAGTGGGTTTAAACTTATTTGCCTTAAATTCACACTATAACACACTAGACTTTAAAATAGAATACCACCTTTTATAAAGTAACTAAGTGTTGACAATTACACTGAGGTGATAGTTGCTTGACCTGGAGCCTGATTAAATATTGGCATTAATTATATCACACTCTGCTGATGTTTCACTGTGCTATATTGAGGAACACTTGACTGCCCTGCCTCTTCTGACATCAGTTGCAAGGCCTTGTGACTGAATCACTGTGTACACTGGGAGCTGAGCCAAATCAAGGAGCTAAGAAAGAACACATTAAAAAGTATTGTTATAAAGTGTAGGTAACTTACTCAGAGATTAAAGGAGAGATACAATTGTCACAGGGGAGCCAAATAAAACAAGGGCCAGTTGTTTTCAGCACGAAGTGTGAGCCCACTTTCACACAGATGTTAAAAGAATAGACTGACTTCATCGCTACCTGCTGATTATTTTTTTTCCAGAGCAGTTGCATCACACCTGCCCTTTACAGTTCTTGGCTTTAATTCTCACTCACCAGAGAATGCTGAAATGGAATGCTGACATTTAATTTTAAAAATGGATTTGAGCGTCTCTCTTTTGGTCTTCAAATAAGCGCTCTCAAAGGCCTGTAGCCATATCATCTCAGGCTGTGACTTCGCCCCATCTCACAAACTAAGCAGAGGCAGGATGGGTCCGCTCTTATGGGACTGGAGAATGAAAATCCAGGTGATTTAGGAAGTAGTAGTGGTGATTCAGTAGGTGGCTCTCTTTCCCTCCAAGTCAGTGTAATGAATCAATTACCCAGGATGGAGCTAAAGGATATAGTTTTATTGGAAATACTCTTTTTTCTATTAGATACAAAATCTAAGTCCTGAGCACATGTAACCCCTTAGGTTCCCACAACACTTTTCACAATTATAACAGCATTAACCTAGTTGTCTCAGGGCAAATTGCACTCTGCCTCTCTAACTAGACCTTGAAGTTCAACTGAAGATGTTATTTTTCACTTTCTCCCTCTAAAAGTGGCAGGACAGTGCTGTTGGTGCAGAGTAGTTGTCAAAAAAAGAAGCAGTTTAGTGTATGGAGAATGGATCCCTAAATATATTTTTATTTACACACACCCCTTCCCCGCTTTCAGGATAAAAGTTGCTAGAGAAATAGCAACTGCTACTCATATTTAAAACTTTATTTTCTTAGTCAAAAAAAGGCCACACCAGAAAGACCTCCTAAAAATCACACCAAAACAAAAAACTTTTCCTGGAAGCAATCACTGGTGTATGTGGCTCCCTCCAGATAATCACTACGTTCATTTCCAATAATCTGCTTCATAGATGGCATATTCCTTATTAACAAATGAATGACTTATTTTGAATGCAATTTTTAGCTTTCAGAAATGCAGCCCCCAACCAAGCCTATGTATGGGATGTCTAATAAATGTCAATCTGAAAAAGAACACAAATTCCAAGAACTTTTAGTGCTGTTTAATAGTAATGCCCACTGCTGATTGGTCCTGGAAATTATTCTGTCTCTCCCTTTTGAGAAAAAAAAATAATCAGAAAGTGGTTGATCTGTTTTTGGTATTAATCTTTTTTCTCTTCCTCTCACATGGAACAATCCACTCAACCGATGGAGAGATATCAGTTGTCAATTAGTGGTAGGTGGAACATGAAACTGGTCCAAAAAACTACGCAGTCCATAAATTGAAAGCAAACATTTATTTTCCTGGATTGTTTGCATCTACTGAAACTGGCTCTTGATTTCGGTAGAAGCAGATTAGCTTTTATAGCTACTGAGGGGGGTGGGGGGAATCACCAGAGCAGTAACAGTCATGTCATGCTCATATCAACATACACAAAGAAAAACTATACAGTATGCCAGTATTATCATCATTTTGTTCATCACTGTGCTAAACTAAACTTCCATTTAATCCTTCCTGCCTCCACACATGGAAAAAGAGACCTTGTAAATATGTCCAATACATGAATTTATTATCTATAAAATGCAAAACAATCAAAATGATAGGGGGGGAAATAAACTTAGCTTGAGTGCAGCATTAGGACTGAGAAATCAAGCACTCAAGAACAGGAAATTCATAAAGTTACACACTAAAATTTAATTCTGTCTGGTGTTTACATCAAATATATGTACATAACCTGCAATTTCTTGTAACCGCTCTCTGGTGGTTCCTAACTTTAAAACAAAATTTCTTCTAAATTGATGTGGCTATAATCTGCTTGTGATTTACCAACTTTTATGTTAAAAATTGTTACAAGATTATACACAATGCAGCTGTGGATTTCAATATTTTTACAGTCACTTTTCAGGAGGAGAATCACAGTCTAGTGCTGCTATGTGAAAGAGAAGGTGGCAGTCTGGGAGTAAAAAATTAAGCCATTGACAGAACAAAAGTGCAGAATTAAAAATGACAAGAGATTAAAGGCCAGTATAGTCCACTATGTCAAACACCCAGTGCTTCACAAAAAACTCCCCACCACACCTGCCCACTTAGCTCTTACTTCTACAGCTGTCTGCACAAGCACTTTTCTTCCACTAGAACAAGTGGAGCTCTATCAATGGTAGCAATGGTGAGACTATAAATGTAGACTGACCACTAGAGTTTCACCCACCATCTTGGCTAACTCTGCTCAGAGTAAGCATAGACAACATGGAGGCTAAAACATTACTGACTGCCAGTGGCCTGCCGACACTCGAACGCCCAACATTGCTACCAATAGAAGGTGTCGGTGGAGCTGTACCCAGAAGTAGCAAGTGACAGATTTTCCAAAACAGCTTAGCATGGAGAAGATATTTGAAGGCAATCCTGCTGTGGTTGAAGTCCCATTGACTTCAATAGGAACAGGATCAGACATTGTGTCATCAGAAGACTCTTTCCCTTCCAACCCTAATATTCTATTATTTTATCAGGAGAGAAGGATAAGGTCATTAATAAAGCAGACAATCTACAAAATAACATTATGGACTCTCTGTTTTGAAACAACAGGTTGAAGTCTATTTAAGCGGTTTCCAGATTGGAAAAGCTGGTGAGAGGAGCCTTATAAAATATGCATTGCTAATTGTTCAGTGCACATGGCAAAGGTCCCTAGGAAGAGAAAAGTAGCTTACCTAGAGTAGGACAGTGGTTACTTAGGCTACATCTTCACTACAGGGGGGAGGGGTCGATTTAAGATACGCAAATTCAGCTACGCGAATAGCATAGCTGAATTCAACGTATCCGAGCCGACTTACCCCGCCATGAGGACGGCGGCAAATCGACCGCCGCGGCTCCCCCGTCGACGGCGCTTAATCCTACCTGCGCTGGTGGAGTGCAAGCGTCGATTCGGGGATCAATTGTCGCGTCCCGATGAGACGCGATAATTCGATCCCCGAGAAAGGGGAGGGATAGCTCAGTGGTTTGAGCGTGGGCCTGCTAAACCCAGGGTTGTGAGTTCAATCCTTGAGGGGGCCTCTTAGGGATCTGGGGCAAAATCAGTACTTGGTCCTGCTAGTGAAGGCAGGGGGCTGGACTTGATGACCTTTCAAGGTCCCTTCCAGTTCTAGGAGATGGGATATCTCCAAAATGGATTTCTACCCGCCGATTCAGGCGAGTAGTGAAGACGTAGCCTTATTTTTAAAACTGGCACAGTACATTTATGTTTCCTTCCAAACAGGGAATACATTTTGAACAATACAAGGATTCCACAGGCAAACCACTAACATGATGCACATCTGTGGTGCTATATACAGTAAAACAGTTAAGCCGCCTGCCACTGATTCCAAAACATATTTGAACAATTTAAATACATGTGTGTCTAGCTCTTGTTTGGCAGTTCCTATCATGCTGCAACAGGGCTTCTATTCAGAAGAAAAAGCTATCCTGTTCTTCATTATCTTGGTCATCCATGTCACCAGCTTCTAGAGAGACTGATTTAAAACATACCATACTAAAGAAACCTTAGAGAGCTCTCCTGCCATTTCCTGATGATGACCCAGCTCCATTTCTGTCCTATCTAAAGTCTGACAAAAAATGATACCCTTGGGTGAACATTAAGGTTTCTTGTTTCGCACACAAACTGACTTGCAAGACCTCTCAATACTCCCTGAGTTCCAACAGCACTTATGTTCACCCAGAAATGTTCTCCAAAAAGCAAGGGGGTATTTCCATGCTTTTAAGCTTATGCATGGTGCGGAACACTGTTATGCATTACAGCATTCCACAAGTGAGACCCTTAAACTTTCTACTTAAAAGGAATTACCCGGATTAGCTAAAAAGCTTCCTTTTTACTGCAGTACTAGATCTTTAATTTGATTTATTTGGGGAGCAAAGGATAAAACAAGATAACCAACATCCCTGGGACAGAACAAAACCGCATCAAATAGGTACAATTTGTGACACAAAAAAAGATAAAACAAATAGTTTAAATGTTGGCCTACTCACATATAACGGAGCTTGCTGTGGATTAAGTTTCATGACCCGAACACTGGAATGGAAGAGAAAAGAGGTGTTAAAAACATTCATTTATCCTCTCTAAAATTAACTCTTTTTTGGTAAGCTGCAGAATCCTAAATAAAGAATATACAAATCCACACAAGGCCACAGCTTGAGAAAAATTTCTCTCTAACTATAGTTTCACACTACTTTACCTTATGGGTCCAGCTGATCTAAATAATACAAGAACCAAATTCTTCCATCTTTGCTCATACTGGGCAGCACTGAGTAAGGGTGGCAGAGTCTGGCCCAAAGGGAATAGATAGTTGATGTCCTTTGTGTCACATATGGCACTGCCCATTTCGGGCTAGACCTTACAACCTGTCCTGAATGAGGAGTGGCAAGTAACTGCACCAACCTAAAAGCAGAGCAGTGGTCCCATTTTGCTCTTAGCGAAGGGGAGGTTACTTCACCCATTTCAGGCAGAAGTTTACTCCTTCCCTTTACACCCAACCAGCTGCTTTGGCCAGAGTGCAGGGAAGGCAGTGCCAGGACTCCTCCCAGTCAGGGACAGAAGAGCCAGCAGCTATCTCCCGCATTGATAATAGTTAGTGGAGATGGAACTCACACCCCTGTACCTTCATGTCAGTTCACCTCTCTTCATTCCCCAAACACATCTTAAAAACCACCTGTTTCCGAATGTGTTCTTTAGTGTTGTAGCCCTGCCACACATCTGACAACCCACTGATATTTGCCCCCTTCTATTTTTTTTGTTGGGTCCTTTATAGGACTGTCTTTTAATCTCCATGAATTTGCTGAGTTCTCTGCAATGGTGCAGAATGCCCTAAAAGTCTCTGCATGCTGCATGTTAATAATTATTATTATTCCATTATACATTGCCAATAATTCCCCCCGCCCTTTTAGCACAAAACTGTTTTATTTATTGTAGCTGTTCTCCCTCAAGTAACAATTACAGTACTGATGGCTCGTTCCAGAATGAAGTGGTGAAATCCATTAGTCTGGCAAATGTATCTTCCAAAGGAATCTGGTCCCTGGGCTTGCTGGAGTGGTGTCTTTCAGGAAACATTCCAAGAAAATGCAGTACACTGAAAAATCATTCTTTATGAAATTCAGGAATGTTCTTCAGAGAAAGCAATATACAGTGCCCAAGCATTTCTTCAGTGATAGCCTAGCCAGGAAACATCAGTCCTTGTCCCAATTGTTTCCTATTCCAGTCTGGGAATCCTTAGAGAGTAAACCACACATAGATGAAAAAGTTTTTTGAATCATTTAGCCGCTGTTGGAGGTAGGTGCAGTTTTAATTCTGTGCTGTGACAATCACGCTGCTTTCTAGAGCCTTTAAACTAACGTTCTGTTAATTCTAATATGTAACAAAAGAGAATTTGGATATTTAAATGCTTTTGGGTCAATTTAGCACTCCCGAAATATAAGGGATTGCCCTTAATTTGCCAGGAGATTAAAGTCTTTTGTGTACCCAAAGGGCAGGTGCAACATGCGCATTGGCAATGCAAGCCCTCTTTTCATAGCTCCTCTGAAGACATGCCTCAAACTTGACTGAGAAGGATCTATTACTTCAGAGGCGAGAAGGAAATTCAAGCTCTACACCCACACAATCCTTGGCTTCTATGCTTACACTGCCAACCGAAGTATCAGTTAGTGAAAACCGTGTTGATAGCTTTAGCTTCTATCCCAGGGGTGGGCAAACTTTTTGGCCTGAGGGCCACATTGGGGTTGCGAAATGGTATGGAGGGCCGGGTAGGAAAGGCTGTGCCCCCCCCTCCAAAAAAAAACTTCCCCCCCCGCCCGCCCCCTCACACTTCCTGCCCCCTGACTGCCCCCCTCAGAATCCCCGACCCATCCAACCCCCCTGCTCCTTGTCCTCTGACCGCCCCCTCCCATGACCCCCTGCCCCTAACCACTCCCCTGGGATCCCCCGACCCCCACCCCCAGCCCCTTTCGGAATGCGGCCCTGCGAACATGGGTGGAGGACTCAGGAGGAGCAGGGGCAGCCATGCAGCCGGAGAGAAGCGGCGATTTCCCCTTCAAAGCGCCGCTTCTCTCCGGCTGGCTGGGCAGCCACCCAGTCCTCCGCCCACGTTCCCGCCACCCACCTTCTCCCCTGCCTCCGCAGTGCAGCCCCTCCCCCACGCGGGGGGTGCACTGGTGCTGAGCTGCCCGAGTGCCCAGCCCTGGGTACCCCTGTTGTTGGGGGGCCCGTGCCAGGGCACCCTGTGTTCACTTGTAAATCTGCCCCTGAGCCGCGCCGCCCGGCCGGAGCTAGCCGCGCCGCCACACTGTCGGCACGGCGAGCTGAGGCTGCAGGGGAGGCGGGACAGCAGGGGAGGGGCCGGCTGCTCAGTGGCCGGGCAGGACAGCCCCACGGGCCGTAGTTTGCCCACCTCTGTTCTATCCACTAGTACTTGTTCTGAGACCCACCAGCTCGTTTCCCATAGGCCAACAAAGAGTCAAGAGATGGTAATGACTTTCCATCACTACTAACATGGACCACAGTACCCATAGTCCATTTCAGTACCCAACCCCCTCTATCTTCCATATCGCTCCTTCCTATCATGGTTGTGTCCCGTAGATTTCCCCACATAGAATTGCATTTCTTTAAACATAACTTCCATTTCCTTTTCTTCTGGAGTTGTGAAAATAAAAAGCACCTCTGTAGAAAACAATCTAGTGTTAGGAGAATTGTACTAGAGCAGCAGTGGTTCTCAAACTTTTGTACAGGTGACCTCTTTCACATAACAAGCCTCTGGGTGTGACCCCCAAAATAAATTAAAAACACATTTTTATATTTTTAACACCATTTTAAATGCTGGAGGCAAAGTGGGGTCAGGGGTGGAGGCTGACTGCTCGCAACCCACCCCCCATGTAATAACCTCACGACCCCCTGAGGGTTCCCGACCCCCAGTTTGAGAACCCCTGTACTATAGGTATGGGGGGTGGGGGAAGCATCTCTACGTAAAGCCAATGGCAAAAAGCGTGCAAGCTTTTCTTTCAACTTCCCAAATGTTCACTTTGCTTGAAAAGAGCTATGAGGAGAAATTAGAAGCGGATTCTAGTATGCCTGTATTCAAAGGTTTCCAGGAGCTAGACACTAGAATCCTAACTGCACCTGGTGAGAATGTACATCTCAGTCCGGCAGAGCCTGAATTCAGGTACAGGATATTTAAAGCAGATTTTGTTCACTTTTTTTATAAAGCACCATACAACATAGAAACAGAAATCAAATGTGGCCTTAGAGATAATAGATTTTTACTTCACCCTCCTGGTAAGTTCAAAAATCCCTTGCAGTTTGGTTTTGTGATTTGTTGCATCATCAAATCTTTCCAAGGAAGCTGAAGCCTTGGCGCCTATTCATCATCCTAGGATCATAGGTATTATTGTGACTGTCAGTACATCTAATCTCCCAGGACCAACCTAGAAGGGAAGGATGACATTGCAGCTCAAGTTTTGGGAACGGAAGTCAGGAAAACTGGCTTCTGTTCCCAGCTCCGACATGAATATTCTGTATGACCTGGGGAAAAGATCTCTGGGTTAAATTTTGGGCCCACTGAAGTCAATGGGAGTTTTGACATTCGTTTCAGTGGGGACAGGATTTCACTTATTAATAACCGCAACGTGCTTTGAGATCCACAGATAGAGGAGAGCAAAGCTTTAGTCTTCTAATAGGACTTTTCAATTGTGCTTATTTCCTTCAGTAGCGATGGGAGCAAATCTCTAAGTACTTAAGGCCCCCCGGTAAACAGGGTGAAAATGCCCACCTGCACCTAACTCACATACTTTGAATAGCTGGTCCAAACCTACCTCCTCCCTGGGGTTTGCCTTCATTGTTAAACAGCAAACCAAAATAAACCTCAGCCTAAACTTTCTCCAGAACTTAGCAATTCCTACGCTCTTTCCCCTGAAGGATACCCTCTAATTCCTTTTGCCTTACAGTCAAACCTTTTTGTACACCTTGGTAAGACTAATTATTTAGACATGCCTGGACAAGGAGGAATCACCAAAATCACTTTGTATTTCTGTGCAGGGTCCTAGTACCTGACATCTTGTTATATACACCCTTATTTCGTAACAACTTCTAAAACTGGTCATAACATCACGTCCAGTTTCAGTCACAACATTCTCTTCCACGAGTCACAATAAAAGTTTTACAAAATAGCGGTGTTCGAAAGACTTGTTTTGCCTTTTTCACACCTTTCAGCTTGTAAGACATTGTATTACTTGTGAAAATGAGGGACCAATAACATTGGCTTGAGCGTGGCATGCTTTTGTGAGGTGCAGAACAAGCTTCCCGCACACAGCTCTGTCAATAAACCTCACTCCTGATCTACACTAGCCCCTGCTCTTCCAGTCCTATTCCCCACTCGAATCACACATCTCTCTCTGCCAATTCTCCTCAGTCTGAGCTACAAGAGCCCCAGATATTCTGGAGCTGGGCCTCTTAGACAGACACCCAGAGTGTTGTCCAACTGGGTGCCTTTTCTTGTGTGTCATGAAAACTAGGTTGAGACCGAACAGTTTTTCATTTTGATATAGACCACTGTTTCAACCTACCTTCCCCCCATGAAGTGCCAACTAATCATTCAGATTTTCATGAGAGAGGCCCATTTCTGATGGGCTTCTCCCGTGTCCTGGAATTAAATCCTGAAATCTCTGGCTTGAGAATTTAATGACATTTGCATAATGACATGATGATGCAAACATTATGACATCAAACACGACACTTCTGTCTCAAATCAGGGTGTTTGAAGGGAGCAAAATCTTTGTCCAAGACTAGATTCTTCTTCAATATTCAGTTCCTTCATTGCCGTAGAAATATTCTGCACCATACAGGAAAACATCTTTTTCTTTATTGTAAACTAGAATGGCTAATTTGTACTTTTATAGTATTTAATCAGCTGAGTTCACAAACAATCACATTTTACACTCAGACTAAAGATAAAACCTGCATAATCATCTCATTGTATAGCGTCTATCTTAACAAGGAAACTGAAAATGTTCTATATACTAGCAGAGAAT